AACTGATAATAACAATTGATAATAATAATAATAATTGATAACAATAATTTATAATATAATAATAATAATTGATAATAGTAACAATACATATTTGTATTGTCCTTGGGATATACCATCTCGAATAACGAACAAATGCGTCGGCGGCTTCCCACGATTTGCATTGAAATAACGCAATATATCTGAGAAGATATGTTGTATTGTATCATCCGCCATCTAAAAAGCATATTGCATAAAAAACATCAATTATAAAAGCATTGTCAAAAGACAAACGGCGTTACAGCTGCTGTAATTTGCTTGATGTTATATATATATTCATATGTTTGTTCATTTAACTGTCTATACTAACTACTTACCCGTATGCTTGAGAATCAAATAATCATGTGAATAATAAATAACATCGACTGCTTTCAAATGATTGACAATAAAACTCAAGCATACCTCTTCCATATTCGCCTTGCCATAGCGATATCCGCCGATGAAATCCAATGGATGCTTTTTAATGTTTGCTGAATACTAGAAAGAGAAATCTTGAACCATATTAATATTCTGTAAATTAAAGTGGAATCTATTAAAATATGGACTCATTAACTCCGAAAGATATTAAAATTAAAAATTTCATTTAAAAACATCTGAACGGATTGGAACTTACACCAACAACTGAAGGAATACTATTTCGATCCCTTTTAGATACATTAGAAAAAACAGGATGTGCTATATCCAAACCAACAATTAGAAGTCCTGGTTTCGTTAGCCATATGTCGCAGCTAAAATTTCGCATGTTGCTTCAGAAATGGGAAAGGTTTTTCAAAAAAAATTTTTTTTTTCAAAAAACGTTGCGAGAAAAAAAAAGTAGAAGGAATGAATGCACTCACTTCGTCTCAAGATGAACCGAATAATTCATTCCTCCCAATTTTACATTCGTTTTATTAACGATATTGTCAAGTGTTTGGCGTTTATTTTGCGTAACTACCGCTACCGCAGTGGATGCTTTCAAATCCTGTGTAACGATTTGTTCTTGTGACTCAACATATTTCATATGCGCTGAAAAAATCCACCACTGTACAAATATCATTCTAAACTTTAAATTTTCTTTTAGAAAAAAAAAGTCCAAAAATCATCAATATTGAGATATATGAGAGGTAATAGTTTAATTATGATTTCGATTCAAAAAGCAAATTTTAGCGAAGAAGCAGTTTACAAAGGCTTTCACAACTGCGATAGTTACGAATAAAAAAAAAAAAAAAACATATTTCAGAAAATAATCACCATGATAATTCAACTCGTCAGCAGTTATAAAATGAATGAATACTGCACCCGAATGTTTGGCCCTCGTAATCAACGGTTCAATATCCTCTTGTTTTGAACGCTGGATATACTCACATAGAAATGGATCATCCATTTCCATGCCATGCCGACGGCAGTGTTGCAGGAAGGTGCGTATATAATTACTACAAATATTTCAATACATCAATGAAATATTTTGTTAAAAACGATAGAACATGAGGATGACAAAGAACTTCGTGAACGAATCATATTTTCGAGTATTCCTTGTTTCAGGAACACTTCTCCTCTCTCTCGACCTTACAGATAAGCTTAAATTATTAACATCTGTTTAATATTTGAAAACTCTACCGAAATTGATATTCATTAAGTCTTCCTTCTCGTGGACCCATTAATGCCACCGCACACCATTTTTTGCAAACAGCCGGAATCAAATACTGATTCTTCCCATCTTCCCACGAAGTCTTAACATTGAATGCATGATTCTTGCAAACATAGAAAATTTAAAGCTTGTTGCTTATGAAAACATAAAATTATTTCGAAAAGTCAAAACGGCGAACCTTTTAAATAGACCATTGAAAATTCACCAAAGAACCAATCTAAAGAAAATTTCCGCTTACCTTTTCACTCGGTTTTACCCATCCGTTAGTACGATATTCAATAGCTGGCATAGGAAGCACTCTTGCTTTAAGCTATAAAATTAAAAATATACCACCTTCCTTAAAATTTTTCACTTAATTTCATTAGTTATTGTTCTCACAGAGATATATTTTAGAAAAGACAGACGATAAGCGTGCGGTAATTCAGCATAATTAAAAATCTCTTAAATTTTCTTAAAAATTCCTCAAATTTTGCTCACTTATAGAAGTTTCATTTGCATTCATGAAAAAGGATTAAATAACAATAACCTCCAAATTATTTGTAACAGCCACATTACACTTTTCCATCCACCTATTCCGGTCAAAAGTACCAAGATTCATCGCCTTACTCAATACATTGGTTTGCTGTAGTCGAAGCGATGGAGGTATAGCACACGCCTAAAAAAGTCAACAAGCTTATATGCTCAATGACATTACTATATCAAAAAGAAACATTTAGGTCATTACAAAAATCTGACAACCTATGTGAAGCACCAAGGAAGATTTTAATATATACCATAAAAGCAGATTTTGATATATATCATAAAAAGATATATAGAAATTTCGGGAAAAAAGTTGTTGGAAAAGGAATTCCAAATAAAAAAAAAATGGTCAAATTTGGAAACCAAACTGTCATAAGATCAAAAAGTGCTCGAAGTTAAACCATAAACTTCACACTTACTTTAACCATGGTTTGCACCTGAAATGATGTCTGCTGTCCCTTGGATACCCGCTGATTCTCACAAACACTTAGAACTTCTATTGGATAAAAGTTATTCTTTGGTGGAAATCGTTCTATAATCAACGGCAAAAATGGATACTTCAATTTCATAGAATATTTCATCCCGAAGTACTTTTCAACCGACATTTCACCATCTTTTGTCACCAATCTTGAAAACAAAAAAAATTGATAACTTGATATAACAGTAGTACAACAAAGGATCAAAAAGGTGATAATTTGATAGTATAATAAAAAACGTACTTTGATGTTCGTGCATTTTCCTTCGAAACACCCGCAATAACGAATGCACGGTTTTTACCATAATTACAACGAACGTACAATCCTATAATCAAAGCTTTTTCAAACTCTTACATAAGAATTAAGAAAACAATGATATATGAAACTCCAAAAACCGATTTCATTATATAGTTTAAAAATTAATTTCACAGCAGCTAAATTCATGGGCTCGACACAATTAAATCTTTCCTTCACTAATAGCAAATCAGTTGCATTAAAAGATAATAAAAATAATGAATGCAAAGACTGTAGGACATGTGAAAATAAACAGAAAACTGACAGTAATACAATTAGCAAATTTTCACCTTAATATCGACAGACGCAACTATCAGTGTTTAACACTTATTGTTAGAAAAATACCTTTGAGAGCTTTATTTAAAACGGTTATTGATTGTTGATCAATACGACGCGTCAAATCAACACTACTCTTCCGAAGGATGTCTTCCGCCTTTTTAAACAAGTTTTGATTATCAATGTGGAATGCTGCTTTTTTCACTAAAATTAATACATATAAAAAAACAACTTTCTGCGGGATCGACATAATCGGTATTTTTATAAAGATTACTGACAAGTCAAAATTCAGAAAAAAAAATCTCTTTACTAACCATCAATTACCAATGCCGCATTGATGCCTTTTTTAAAACCTCGCGGTCCTTCAATTATTCGTACACCCTTTGCTGCACCAATAGCAACATATTTTCCTTCCTGCAACTCAGGCACATCTCTTTCTCCAAAGCCGAACTGGTTCGGATCCATAAGATAACACTCCCCTGTTCCATAGCTCACAAAACGGCCCCTGCACATAAACACATAATCGTCATTAAAAAAAAGAAAGAAACCAATGATATCAAGGTTACCATGATTTTTCAAACATAAATATTACGCGCCACTAATGCTAAACTAAACTTACTGATGCATATATTCGATCCATAATTTTAAATAGTGAATACTAGTGTAACCCTGCTAACTTATCCGTTAAATAAGCATTTTTTATCACATGCTTTAATCTTCTTCGACCGACATCCAAAGGTTTTCATTTTAACAAATAATATTTAACTTACTCCATGAAAAACACTTCTTGCATAGCCAAAATTTCTAAAAACTGCTGTAAACTTCGGTTGATTTGATCAGGATTGTTGCTAACGCAACTGCTCAGATCGTTCATTGTTAATTGAAAGTCGTCCTTACACGGTTTTATCTATATTAAAAAAAATCTTTCTAATCGTCTATGACAAAAGATTAAAC